GTCAAATAAATAAAAAGACTGAATAAGCTCTGAGTAAAGACCTGCAACAGTTTTCAACTATTTTCTTCTGTGACATGTGTAAGACACATTCTCATGGGCCTAAGCAGAGTTATGTGTAATTTCCCTGGCTCAAGCTACAACTCTTTATTTGAGAAAATGAAAAAAAATCAAGATGTTTTTGTGTGCCACAAAGGCAGAGTTGAGAACAACCAGGCTAAAATATGTGCGCTTTAGTGATATTTATCCTGGAGTCTCCGTGTCTTTTTTGTTCCCTCACTGATCCCAGATAGGGGAGGCTGTTGGTTGTCCTGCTCTCGGGCAGATGGGGTGCTCTGTCTCTCTCAGCAGAGCCACGTGGGAGGCACTGGTGTCTACCTAGGAGTCTGATCCTATGAGCCCTTGTCTTGGGGGTTTGACATGGTTTCAGGCACAGAGATGATAATCCTGGCTTTTGTAACAGGTTAGAAATAAACTATGTGAACTGCTTTTATAAAATCCATAGAATATTAATCTTTCTAAAACACCTACTTTGGGCACTTGTCTGCCTAAAAGCCTTGCACAGTTCAATGGCTCCCTGTGAGATTAGGAACACCCTTCTGAGTCTGGCACTCAAGGCTCTTCACCACCTCCACACCCTTCTAATCTCATCTCTCACTGCTAAGCCCCATGCACCCTACCAACTGACCCAATGAGGCTGTTAATCAGTCCCCACACACGTCAGGTACTCTATCCTGTGGCCTATATCATTCTCTCTTCCTAATGTTCTTCTTCCCATTATAAAACAAAACAAACAACAACAACAAACAACTCATGTTCTTTGAAGACACAAATCTCTTGAGATTTTGCTGTATTCTTTCCAAAAACCCATGCAAAATGAACTGGTGCCCATTCTTCTACCATCACACAAAGCTATGTACCTGCCACATTACAGCATCTATGAGCTGTGTTTCATCACTAACCATGTGGTCTCTAGCAGCTTGCCCAATGCCTGGCACAGCAGCTGCTCACTAAGTATTTGTTGGGGTACATGGATGAATGAATAAGTTCATGAATGAACAGATGACTTGTCCCCCACTGGATTATGAGGTCTTGCAGGACAAGGTCCAGTTCATTTTGTATTCCAAGTAAATGTTTGTCAACCAAGTCCCAGACCTGGGTAGGGCCCCAGGACTCACATGGACCCCCCCTTTACTTAAAAAGAAGAAAATGAAACCAGAGAAGTCATCTGATTTGCCCAAAATCACACAGCAAATTAGTAGCAGAGACAGGGCCAGAACTTGAGTCTTTCTCCTCCCTTCTCAGGATTCCATTTAATAAAAGCCACAGTCATAATTAGCTAGTATTTACTGAGCATTTACTATGTGCTAGGCACTGCACCAAGTCCTTTATGGACTATCCCATTGAACTCTCACGTTAGGTCTAATGATTATCCTCATTTACACATTAAGAAAATGAGGCTTAGATGGTGCAGCCACTCTGGAAAACAGCATGGAGTTTCCTGAAAAAGTTGAAAATAGAGCTACCCTACAACCCAGCAACTGCACTACTGGGTATTTACCCCAAAGATACAATGTAGTGATCTGAAGGAGCACCTGCACCCCAATGTTTATAGCAGCAATGTCCACAATAGCCAAGCTATTGAAAGAGCCCAGATGTCCATCGACAGATGAATGGATAAAGAAGATGTAGTATATATATACAATGGAATATTATGCATCCATCAAAAAAAAAAAAGAAATCTTGACATTTTCAACAACATGGATGGAACTGGAGTGTATAAAGCGAAATAAATCAATCAGAGAAAGACAATTATCATATGATCTCACTCATATGTGGAATTTTTTTTAAAAGATTTT